GAAATTCACTTAACTAAAATCCACTCGTTAAATTGTTAATTATTCCTAGTATCTGGAACATTTCAATTTGAGATTGGGGACCCGTCTTCTCAATGTGCTATATCACTTTCAGTGATAGAAGTCAGGAAACTAAATTCTCCGCGCTGTCCTATGTTTTCTTTTCTTTTGATGAAGTAATAGTCGAATACCTTCTTCGGAAATTTAGACGTCTCGCAAGTGGTTTTTCTTGAACAATTGTAAAGCCCTTTTATCGCGTGCGTTTTTTACGACGATTGAAAACATACTACTCCTCTGACTTCCAAACAGTTTTGGCGGTAACTCGGTACAAGTAACGGCGTTAGTGGTAACGAGTTCCTTTTTTTATCGGTAACGTAGTAATGCACTTGTCACTTTTTCACGACAGTAACGGATAACTTATTAACGTCACTTACTTCAAGCAACGGGTAACGTAATACGTTACTCGTCACTTCTTCTTTAAACTTAAAAAAATTACACTTAATTTTTTTGTGTGTGTTTTTAGGCGCCAAGCCATGTTAATTATTGAGGACTTCCGGTAAATGGCGCCACGACAATTTAATAAATTTTACGTATAATACTAGACTGTTCACGCATTGCTCTATGATCAAACGACCATATTTTTAGAAAATAATCTTAAATTGAGCACACAATTGACTAACTTACAAACGACATGCATCCCCCAAGCTACGTCACAGAGCAAGCTCCTGTAACCGCCATTCGCTGCTGCTAATCAGCAAATAATTCGTTTTTTTTTTCTCTCGTGATTAAGCAGCGTAAGTACAGTGGTTCCCACTGTACTTACGGGGAAGGATGCAGGTTTCATTTGCTTGTGGAAGGATAAGCAATAAAAAAATACAAACGGTAAATACTTTCAACCTTAAAATCGATACAACGCCCCTTAAAGCGTTTTAGGATGACGCCTTGAATCATTTCCAGTCATTTGCAACAATAAAAAAGTATCGATGGTTTTCTTTAAACTCTTTAAACTGAAGCTAGCAAGCGGATATTGGACCCGAGTATTACCACCAGCACCCTGAATAATCGAAGCATGTGAACAGTCTCCTCTGTGTACACATAATGTCTTCCCACTCGGACGCCGCCAACTCAGCAATTGGGCCAAGTGTCCTTCAAGGCATTCACTGGACAAGCCGAACGCTGAAGCACTATTCGTGCACTGTTCGTGCGAGTCTGCGCTCTATTTTGCTGTGATGACGTCGAAATGCTAGTGCACCGTTTCTGATTCTTCTAGGCGGTGTTGGCTGTACTGGCCTTGGGAGCCGCTGTTGTGAAACCACTTTTAAACATTGCTTCGTTTCTAGGGGCGAAGCTCCTTAGTGGCTAGCCATGTCCGTATGTCCGTCCTCCGTCGGGTCACGAGCACGTGAGCACGTGCTCCCGTGCTCGTGTAGGGCAAAAAAAGAAAACCGGATCGCCACGTGGTGAATGATGTTGATTGGGGCGAAGCTCTGGGGTGCTTGTCTGCGTAGACGGTGAGCCGCAGCATGCCGAGCCTTTCGTTCGTTTTCATCCATGTCAGAAAGAGAATGTGTGGTATGGCACGTGGTTATATACGCATTCGAGCATTTGACCGCAGCGTGACATGGATGAAAACGAACGAAAAGCTCGGCATGCTGCGGCTCAGCGTCTACGCAGACAAGCACCACCAGAGCTTCGCCCCAATCAACATCATTTACCACGTGGAGATGCGGTTTTTGCACCAGATGGCACCTTTAGGGTCTTCAGACGATGTGACGTTGTCCTTTAGTTTTCGTAATTCTCTACAAAAACAAACAAAAAGAGACGCGTAAATGAGTGTTTCACGCCTTGAGTGGAAAACCGAAACCAAAGTGAACATAGCGGTAATGACATTTTTATACCATTTTTTAGACCACCTGAGACTGGGTGGAAGGAACACGACGACGTCTCAAACACAGCTAACCACTTTATTCAGTTCTCTCTCCTTTTATACAACCTCAATCAAAAATCGTCACCATAAAAAACACTCCAAAGAAAGGCACCAAGGAGACACGTCTTGACTTCGCAGCCACGATAACATAAAAAAAAAAAAAAATAACGAACCACTTTGAACTGACAAAAGCTACACACACATCAAAACTTCGGCCGAAGGGAACAAAACTTCGGCCGAAGTTTTGATGTGTGTGTAGCTTTTTTTAGTTCAAAGTGGTTCGTTATTTTTTTTTTTATATTATCGTGGCTGCCAAGTCAAGACAAGTCTCCTTGGTGCCTTTCTTTGGAGTGTTTTTTATGGTGACGATTTTGGATTCAGGTTGTATAAAAGTGGTTAGCTGCGTTTGAGACGTCGTCGTGTTTCTTTCACCCAGTCTCAGGTGGTCTAAAAAATGGTAAACTTACACCAGCTCGCCTGCGCGCCAACTGTTTTTGCACATTTTAATAGTTGTTTCGATACATAATGCAAACAGACACTCGCCCACTAAAAGTCCTATGTCATGCACAACTTTGAGCATGATTGAATTAAAGGCGATAACAGCCGACGAACGCCGGTGTTGCTACTAATCGAAGAACGCTTCCTTGATTACAGAGAGACTTCTAAGAAGGGGTCTATGTCGGGGACACCTTTCTGTGGCATTTCTGAGGAAAGGAGGGGAGCGCGCGCGCAGCTTTCTTTGGCGCTCAGTCTGGGAGAGGACACGCGCGCCAGGAACGTTTACCCTTACAGAGTATACTTGTTTTCTCTCAAAATATCATAAGATTTATAAAATCAAATAGGGGTGTGCGTATAGTGATTTGAATCGAATAGTGGTCCGTCAGTCGTAGCCTTCACAGTGATATGAGAACACACTAATACCGGATTTCTTTGCAGTGTCTAAGCTAGGCATGACGCTACGCTATTTTATTCGAAGCAGTATTCACACACGCCTACGATCAGGCTATTCCTCATCTTGCTTTCAATCCCCCAGTAGCAGATATTTTCACTTGGGAAGGAGGCACATGTGTAAGTATCGCCTGCTGGATCGCCACTTTCAATCTTAGCGGGGCTTCTCGAGAAGAAATTGATGTATACGGAAGCCCTCTCCGTTTTCATCGAGGTCGAGGAAAAGAGAGAGTGAACGCTGTACGTCGCTGAGAGGGAAGATAGCCACATGATCTTTGTGTTAATGTTGTCCTTCTTCGATGTTTGTATCTTCAAAGTCGCACGCTCTTAATTCTTTGATTTCCACCTCTTCGTTCCCCTCCGGCTGCCGTCCCCATTCTTAAACTGCTCGAAATTCGCCGTGGTCCGGTCCTTAGATTCCTTCACCCATTGTTATTTCCCTCACGGAGCCAGTTTGGTTATGAAATGCACCATCCTCGTCATGGTCTTAGTGGTATCTTTCTGAGGCGCGTCTACAATGTGCAAGAGAAAGCACGCCTGTCCGCCCTGAGTACATGGAACTTCTAGCCGAGCATCGGCCCGATTGGACAGATGTGGCCAACCTTGATGGCAGGCTCCTCCTGCCGACGGCAGAACTATAAAGGCTCGATGGGCTGCTCTGGTTTGATCGCACTCTTTCGAGACTTTCCGATATTTCCTGCGGGACTTGAGCCATGAACACATTCGTGAGTATCTTCTGATCCGTCTGTTGCTTTATCCACTTAGCTTATAGTATGAGAAATTGTATCTTGGCCGCGTTGAAAGTACTGTAGAACATTCATTGAGCGACTACTGAATGCCGCTATGAGCGTAGATGAAAGCACTGTAATGTCAATGTCTTCGACATCTGTCTGTCTGGTTTTGTTCTCCCTCTCATTGTTCGTAAACCTTTTCTTTTCATAAGTTCTGGCCAGTCAAAGGAGCAATCTGGTCATCAATATGCAGCAGCAAAAAAGACTCTTAATGTCGGTGTTGGTTGTAATGCGTATTTTTTATTTCTTCTGTGATGAAGAGCTCCTGCACTGTCCTACTTCATATGTTGCCGAAACAAAGTGTGAGGTCAAAGCAATAAGTATGCAAGCGAGCTGATTCAGAACAGCGTTTGCAATCCTGGAGCGTGGGGAGCGACAGTTAAAAAAACACGAAGCTATTTATTCGGGAACTGTATCATTATCGAATTAAGACCGCCAGCTCGGTTAGTTGGTTCCTATTCATACTGAGGTTTTACGCCAAAAAAACACAGAAACAAGAAGTGCGATGCAACACAGGACAAGATGCTTTATCCTGTGTCGCCTCTCACTTTTTGTCCCTGTGTCTTTTGGCGTGAAACTTCAGTCTGTATACCATTATTTTGAATTTAACGTCTTCTCGACGGGCGCGTTTGGGACTTCTGTTTAGTGTCGTTCTTTAAGAGAAAAAAAAAATCGAATTTCGGGTAAGTTTAGCATGCTTAACCTGAACCAGCAAGCTTCCACCTTTGTTTTTTGTTCGTCAACTCTTGCTTTATTTGTTCTTAGTTTTCTCAAATCTTGACCGATAAAAACAAACTATTTCCTTGTCCCTCTCAAATGTACTTTTTTATGCTTATATAGAGCGACGAGAATCCCACCCGGGAGCCCGCGCTCACCATGTTAAATCTGACGGTGTAAATAGTTTCTTTGGCAAAAGCGTTTTTTATCGTTTACTCGAATCAGCCATATTAAATTAAACCGAGTCCCTGCGCCTTCGCTATTAACGAAAAAACGAACTGTCTGTAGAAAATCTCTTTAGCGACCATATCCACTCCTTCCGTACACCTCTTGTTCTGCCATGTTTTCTTCAAAGACAACGACATGGTTAATGTTTTCAAAGTGGATTGACTTCTAGATTTTGAAAACCCGAGACTAAGGAACAAACAAGTGGACAACACACACACACACGCAGTTTGAAACTTGTGTGTGTAATGTGCACTTTTTTGTGATTAAGTCTCGAGTTTCCACGATGTCGAAAGTTCACCAGCTTGCTTGCCGGTGTTTTGTTATTTCTGCTTTCTAGAAGTAACGTCAGGCATTCTTTGTATTCGCTGAAGTGTAGGCGTCGCAATGTCCAGGTCGTCGTCTTTTCTGCCCTTGTGGCGTGCGCATCTGCGGGAGGCTTCTCCGGTCTAGGGCTTGGCGGTGGTGGTGGCCTCGGAGGTGGTCTCGGCGGTGGCTACGGTGGTCTTGCTAGCCTCGGAGGTGGTCTCGGCGGTGGTGGTGGCCTCGGAGGTGGTCTCGGCGGTGGCTACGGGAGTCTTGGTGGCCTCGGAGGTGGTCTAGGAGGTGGTCTCGGCGGTGGCTACGGTGGTCTTGGAGGTCTCGGCGGTCTCGGCGGTCTCGGCGGTCTCGGCGGTGGCCTCGGTGGCCTCGGTGGCCTCGCCCTGGGCGGAGGTGCCCTGAAGACTGGCACCGCTTTTGGCGCCCTGTCTGCCCAACCAGTGGCTACTGTCGGCGTCCTCAAGCAGCCCGTGGTCAAATACGGCGTGGTCGCCAAGCCGGTCATCAACTACGTCGCCCAGCCGTTCGCCACTGTGTCCCACGTTGCCAGGCCTTTCGTCAGTTATCACGGCGGCGCCCTCGGCGGTGGTCTTGGTGCTGGTCTCGGTGGTCTCGGTGGTGTCGGTGGTCTCGGTGGCCTCGGTGGCCTCGGTGGTCTCGGTGGTCTCGGTGGTCTCGGCGGTCTTGGTAGTCTTGGTGGTCACGGAGGCAAGCTCTACAAATGAACATACATATGAAGTGTTGGACTGATGAATGGGAAGTAGAAGCTGTATAGCGTCATCTAATATTTGCGACTGCAGTCGGTTTCTTTGCCGCGTGCATTCCTCTGTACTATAACACGACTTTAATAAAAAAAAACTATATATCGTTTTTTGTGTGTTCATGCGTGCTTGATTTCCCCGCTGTAACGTTGCGGGTGCTTTGTCAACAGACTCCAGAGTTTACCCTATCTGGGTTGACTCTGCGAGCCTACCCAGACAGGGTTATTGTTAACACGCGCCTAATATTTGTTTCCCGACACAGAATGTCGCGATTTCACTTGGGTTTTACATTCAGCTTTAGAAATCAATGGACAGACTGAAAATCATTGTGTTCGGACAATCTAGTTTACAAAATATATGTATACAAGGTGTTCCAGATGACTTGCACAAAACTTTGCAAAAAGAAAAACGGAGCACTCTGTGAGTGTGAAACAAACTGTATGTTCTTAAAAAGCGTCTTGGGAAAGGGCACAGTTTTTCAGTACGCCTAGTTAATTAGTTAATTAAGACTAATTAGCTTTTTGTTTGTTTTATTCGTTTAAAAGCCGAGGTCTGAATTGGAAAGTTGTAGGGCGCATTAAGAAACGCCAAATTAAGGTGTTTTCTCCATGATACGCTTGGCGCGCTTCTTTTTATTTGCTTAAACAGTAAGCCCACGAAATATTAAAAAAGACCACAGGACAACGCCCCCGCGCGTCACGCTTGCTGCCCTCTCAGAGGTGCTCTCAGGGAACGAAGTCCACCTTAAAGCGCCGTTCACACACTTGCAACCGAGTAGGACGGAGGTAGACAAGACCGGTTTTTAAGCCTCTTGCGACGTCTTAAGGCCGAATGCACTGTTGCGGAGCTGGTCCTAAGACGTCGCAAGAGGCTTAAAAACCAGTCTTGTCTCTTTCGGTCGTCTTCGGTTGCAGGTGTGTGAACTGCCCTTTAAGCGCCGTTCACACACTTGCAACCGTGTAGGACGGAGAGAGACAAGACCAGCTTTTAAGCCTCTTGCGACGTCTTAGGACCAGCTTCGCAGCAGTGCATCCGGTCTTAAGACGTCGCAAGAGGCTTAAAAACCGGTCTGGTTTCTCTCGGTCGTACTCGGGTGCAAGTTTTGTGAACGGGCGCCCGTTCACACACTTTCAACTCCCGCTGTTCGAGCTCCCGGTTTGCTCTAAATCCAGTTTCCAGTAATGTCACAGATAATTCATCGAAAGAATGCTCTGGGAGACGGAGGTGTTTTGAAAGAAGGAGGCTTGGGTTAGATTTAGAGTGAGCTCTGCGGTTGTTGAAGCGTGTTTGTTTGCTGAATTTGCAGATTAAACGCTGCGGTGTATTACAGGGCCTGCATTCGTTGTGTCGCATGTGTAGAGCTTAACTGAGAATTTAGTAGCGTGTCTTTAATGTTGCGTGATCGTCTATAGATCACCCCCGGCGCGGCTGGAAATGCGCGTTTGAGGCGGTCAGTTTGCTCGAGAATATTGTAGTGTCGTCTTAAAATATTATTTACGTTAGGATAGTTAGTGCTGTTGGTGAGACATAGATTTGTGCGTTGTGTGTCGCTCTGCGGAGGACGATCCTCCAGGAGGTCGCTGCGGTTCAACATTCTGGCTTTATGGCTTGCATTACCAATTACACGTGGTGGATGTTTTTGATGTGACAACGCGTTCTTAAGATTTCGAGCGCTCGCGTTAAAGTCATTTTTATTTGAACAGATGCGTTTGAAACGGTGGGCCTGGCTATAGGGTATGCTGTTCTTACAGTGACGTGGGTGGTCGCTTTTGTAATGAAGGTAATGTTGCCGATCTGTTGGCTTGCGATAAAGCTCTATTGATCGTCATCAAGCGCCTATTGAGCGTCTATTGAGCGTCATCAAGAAAGCAAAATAGATGTCAATGCGTTTGTCATGATACACGTCTTTCCTTCTCTCCCCTTTTGCTTTGCCTCTCTCGTTAGAATCTTTTACTTGACAGGGACACTGATGATACTGAGACGTGGGTCATTGACATTCAGTCATGTTATTTATTTTTTATTTAATTCAAATAGAAGGTAAGTTGTTTTTACCTAGGATGCAAATTATAATTCAAATCTACAGAAAATAAAAACTTATAATAATCAAAAAAAGGAATTTCAGCCAAAATACCTGGGGCATCAGCATAATACCTTGCGTCTTCAATCCTTTTATCGATTTTCGTGAACTCGATGAAAAGTTTAATCACGATCGATTCGACTTTCTTTTTGACACCACTTCAAGAAAAGTAAAAAGTGGAAAATAGGGAAATTGATCAGCTTTGTATAGAAGAAAATCAGCGTACGATCGCTTTTGATCTATGATATACAAAGTAGTGAACTGACTTATAGTTGGTAGGCTTCTCGAAGCATCAAATGCTGCGAGAGAAAATGGTTATAAGCTTATAGTGGTGATTTAGCCGACACGAGGAGCATTATTTTAAACAAGAATATGTTAACACGCTGCCATCCTGACCAGGCTTGACCAGGTTCCAAACTTCGTTGAGACGCTTTGGGTCACTAAACCGGGAGCGTGAAATCATTAGGCCGACAATGTGACCACTCTTTCAGCACGTTGGGTTGTCTCTTATGAGCCATGATATATAATGTTGCTGAGAAGCTGCACTATGTCCCAATTTCAGAATACAATTTTTCTGCTTTGTTCACATATCTAGGTACATAGTCCTATGACAGTGTACCGCTTTTTAGGCTTAATGCTGTTTGTGTACACATCAAAATAAAGATTATTATACTCCGTGACAATGCAGACGGGCTAAAATATCAATCAACTCATCGGTGCCGAGAGTAAGAGTAATAAAACTATTTATAATGATTTCGTGGAGTTCCCATCGACAGTGTCTTGTTGGTAGTAAACCAACTCCCCTCCGTGGGAGCGGAATCAGCAGAACCTGCGCGTTTTGTCTCCACTGTCACTCGGTCCTAGCAGGAAGGCAGTAGCAAATAATCTATTCCCTCGCGTATCACTTCCAGACGAAACCCGCCGGTAATGCGTTGGCACTAAAACCTCTAAAAAAAATAAAAAAATAAAAAAAAAAGATTAGCAGTGCGTTGACACGTTGTTTATATTCGAACTGCGTAAATAATCCCGCGAATCCTCGTACTTCTTTGAATTCATTGTAGCGGTTAATCTCCACCCAAGAACACGGGGTATCCCCTGCTTTATCGCTCCCTCTGGATGGCAGATGACCTTGTGTTGGTACCTATCCAAGACAAATTCATTTATTCTAGCGCAATCTCCGCTCTCGTTCTAGCTGGGGAAGGAAGGTGGGGGATGATATATATTCCGATGGAGGCGAATATGGCCGAACGACTCTTTTATTAATGGCGACCCTCTTTCTTTCCCCCAATGCCTGGTGGCGCCGATTTAATGCTGCTCTTGTCGCCTCCCCTCACCTCGGAGTGCTGGAAATTCGCAGCGGTGTCATGACCGCATTCCGCCATTTATAGGAGTGGCATTCGGCGATTGAACTTCCTCGATTGTTGCGTGACTGTTACCTTAACATGACCCCCACTGAGATGCATATGACAAGTCCAGGAAGAGACATGCGAAGCACTGACAGGGAAACTCCTTTCATTGGGCAGACCTGACCTTGAACGCAGGCTCCTCCCGCTGATCGCAGAATCGGCGACTATAAATGCCCAATAGTACCCTGTGCAAGAAGCACACTCTGTAGAGACCTTTAAACGAGATTTGAGCCATGAACACCTCTGTGAGTATCTTCTAAATGTTGAGCATAACTGATCTCTGTTTGCTGTGCGGGCACGTGAGAAGCACCCCATGGTCCGTACTCCATAGGCTAGAGTGACTAAAGAAAACTTCGTGTCCCCCAATCGACTCTGCCACTTTAGACTGACAGTTTGGACATGAATCCTTCTTGGTGCTTTGGCTCGCTATATAGGCTTGTTCATTCATTCTCCAGATCATCGTCCTTTCCGCCCTTGTGGCCTGCGCATCCGCCGGTGGCTTCCACGGTCTCGGCCTCGGTGGTCTTGGCGGCCTCGGCGGCCTCGGCGGTGCTTACGGCCTTGGAGGTCTCGGTCTCGGCGGTCTGGGCCTAGGTGGAGGTATCCTCAAGACCGGAACCGCGTACGGTGCCCTGTCTGCCCACCCAGTGGCCACCCTCGGCGTCCTCAAGCAGCCCGTGGTCAACTACGGTCTGCTTGCCAAGCCCGTCGTCAACTACGTGGCCCAGCCTTTCGCCAGTGTGTCCCACGTCTCCAAGCCTTTCGTGAGCTATCACGGCGGTCTTGGTAGTCTGGGTGGCCTCGGTGGTCTCGGCGGTCTCCACGGTCTTGGCGGTCTCGGCGGTCTTGGTGGTCTCGGCGGTCTCGGTGGCAAACTCTGGTGATGAGCGGACGTCTAAACCAATAGATGTATTAATCAAAAGGACAAACAACAAGGCATGATCTCATATTGTGGGACTCTGATGTCGGTTTCTATGCCGCTGTATTATTCTGTACTATAGCAAGACTTCAATAAAGATTGGATTACAGATATTTTGGTGTCTTAATATCAAAGTGTGATCTTATCGTATTCTACGCTTTTTTCAGAGCGCAGCTCTTAGGCGCCCGTTCCTGGCTTGAGCGGCGTCGCCGTCGGCGTAACCGCGAGTAACCCTCGTAACCCTCGTGAGGGTTACGGGGGTTACGAGGGTTACTTTCACGAGGGTTACCCTCACGAGGATCACGAGGGCTACGAGGGTTACTAACCCTCGTAACCCTCACGAGGGTTACAAGGGTTAGTTACACTCAAAATGGTTACCCTCACGAGGGTCACGAGGGTTATGAGAGTTACCCTCACGAGGGTCACGAGAGTTACCCTCACAAGGGTTACTAGGGTTACCCTCACGAGAATCACGGTGGTTACCCAGGTCACGTGACCCCCCTTCTGAGGTCACGTGACCCCCTCCCCCCGAAGTCACGTAACTCCCGTTGACGTCATCGCC